CAACACCCCGAACGGCTACTGGGGAAACGCCGTTCGCACTCGCATACGGGTTCCAGGCTAAGGTACCCACCGAGGTCCTGGTACCTACACACCGGATAATATATTATGACCCCGAGCGGAATGAGGACAACTTGCGTGTTGAGCTCCATTTCATAGAAGAAAGGAGGGATCTTGCAGCCCTAAGAATGGAAGAATACCACCGAGCCACCAAGAGATACTTTGACAAACAGGTCAAAATCCGTTCAATCCAAGTAGGACACTTGGTCCTGAAGAAAAGGGAAAAGAGCAAACCACTGGAAGGTGGAAAGATGACCCAGAACTGGGAAGGACCCTACCGGGTAGAGAAGAAGTATGCCGAAGGAACGTTCCGCCTACAGACTACCGAAGGCCAATCGGCAGGAGCTTGGAATGTTGAACACCTAAGGAAGTTTTACCAATAAAAACGGCTGTTGCCACCTCTTGGATAAAAAAAAGGAGGATGTACAGGAGATGCATAAAGAGGGAGAAATTTACTTCCAAACACAAGGCTAGAAGTTGGGTAACCACGTACAACAAGACCAAATGGCTATATCACAACCATGGCCAGAAGCCTCGCCTCGATCAAGCTCTGTTGGCAATCATTATGGATGTCCGAATGAAAACCAGCATCTTAATCTGGAGGGAGCCTCCATTTCAGCTTGGACTTGGCCTTGTGCTCCAGATGACCGAGCAGGGGATCTAAGCCAGTTTAGGAGATGGTGTAAAACTTCGAGTAAGGCAAGCCGAACGGCATTTGATAATTCGTTATGGTAGAATCCGAGCGGGGAGTCAGGACTCTGGTTTTTTAAATCTTACCTCGGTCTATAGCTCTGACGAACCACGACGAAGGGAAATCGTTATGGTGGAATCCGAGCTGTAACTTGGAGGCGAGTCTCCATTTTAGCTTGAAATACAAGAGATGACCCGTACAGGTGATCTTGTGTTTAGTTTGAAAATGGATATCTCATACCCTTAATATGGATGTCCTGGAAAGGCTGAACCGAACGGGTGCATCGGAATTATGGGCTTGGAAGATGAGGGGCAATACAAATCTTACCTCAGTCTATAGCTTTGACGAACCACAACGAAAGGAAATCGTTATGGTGGAATCTAAGCTATAACCTTGGAGGTGAGTCTCCACTCTTGCTTGAAATACCGGAGATGACCCGAACAGGTGATCCTGTATTTAGCTTAAAAAGATGGACATCTCAAACCTCTAATATGGATGATCCCGAACGGGTAAATCGGAATTATGGGTTTGGTAGATGACAGATGCTATCTAATAATTAAAGCTTGGATAGTGCTCTGAACGGTCGGGGAATTAATCTCGAACAGCAAGGCATCTTTATTCTTCGAAAGATGGTGACTGCAAAAGGATCCCGAACAGGGAAAGGAAGATCGGGAAACAATCTCGACATGATAAAACTACCAATCAAAGGGTACAAAGGAATAAAAGGACGGATAAAACTAAGGGAAAGATATGATTGCAGTCAGGAGATATTCTTCGGCATTACTGGCTTGGAATTATGCGTCGAGAAAAAGAATAAAATATAAGAAAAATACTAGCTCAGAGAACAATCAGAACAATATGAGGAAGCAGGTATCTTTATTCTTCGGCACTACTGGCCGGGAAAGTACGGGATAATGAAAGAATATTGATAAAGAATTGTACACAAAACAAAAGAATACTACGCTACAGGCGGATCGTCGGTCAGGGATGCAACATGCTCAGAGGACTGTTCAGGCTCCTCCTGGTCTGCCTGCCTTTTTGCCATCACACGCCTATAAGCGCGGCATAAAAGCTCATCAAACTTGGCCTCTTTGGGATCGAAGGGCTTGGGAAAATGCTCCATGATCACATCAAGGTTTCGATCGACCAGCATATCTTGACACTTGATCAGGGTATCTCTGGCAAGGGCATTAGCAAAGGCAGCCCCGGACAGGGTCTCATCCAGAAGCTGGAGGCCATCATGAAGGGGATCCTTACACTTCTTCAAGAACTCCCCAAGATGCTTCCCAAGGAACTCCCAGGCAGTCTCCTCCAGAGCAACGTTCAATCCTTTGCCCCGTTGAAAATCAATCACTGCCTGCTGAGTGATTCTAGAAACATCAGCCTGAACGGGTGCTGCCATCTGTTCGCCCTCTTTAGGCTGGGCCTTTTTGAACTTGACACCAACCGCCTCGGCGGCAACAATCTTTGCCTTCAGCGCCCGGATCTCCCGATCGCGACGTTGGAGCCTCTGTTCCAGCTCGGCCAATTCAGCCCTGGCCTTATCGCCCTTATTTGCCCGATCCTGAAGATCTGCAGCCATCTTCCGAGCTGCGTCCAGGAGGGTCTTGCTCTCATCAAGCTCCTAAGCCAGATGCGCTATTTCCCGCTCAGCAGCCAGGAAAGCCCGGTGATAATAAGTGTCGGCCTGAGAAAGAAAGAAACAACAATAAGAAAGGACCCAAGAAATATTGAACATAAGAATGACCCGAACGGGCAAGGGCATACCTTAAGGGTCTCTGCATGACCTGCTTCAACCAGATCAGACCAATGAGTCAGGTTAGTGAAACCCTCACCAGCCTTCAGAGAAGTACTGCACCAGATGGAGGATGCAGTTTGCCCGAACAATGTCCGGCATTCAGCTCGGGGGCCCATGGAGGAGAATTCCACCGTCATCCGATCAGGAATCGGGGGATCATCACGAACAGAGTCTCCCTTCTTACCAAGCAAGGAGCCCAACTGTTTGGGGAGAGGAGAGGCGGCATGCATCGCTTCCAGATTGGGATCAGTCAAATCGATGACCTGATCAATCGGTACCAATTGACCGGAGGGCTCGATCCGCGGACGCTTGTTCACTGGCCCGGATTCTCGACTGGGGAAAGAACTTGGCCGAGTATCCCTCCCCTTCCCCTTGTCGGCCAAAAGGGTGGATGAGGGAGTAGGGACAGGACGCTTTGTGGAAACGGGTGGAATCACACCTGCAGAAAAGAACAAAACAAGATAAGCAAGGCATTGAGAAAATATACCGAACGGTCGAAGTAAAAAGAACGCACCAATGCCAGCGGCCAGCATTTTAGAAGGGGTCAGGAATGATCGGAGGTTCTTGGGGCCCGCCCTGTAGAACCGATCATGCTGGCAAAGGAGGACAACATCCAATACAGGTGCCCTATCCTGCGCAGGGTAGGTATTCCACCGATCGGGAAATGGAAGTGGTAACCCCACATGAACGAACAAAAAGCGCTCCTCCCACTTATCAGGTGGGGTGGGGTTGTTAGTGAAAAGGGCCCGACCAGGACGGGCGACCAGTCGCAGGTACCCAGTGGTCCAATAAGGCTGGACGCCGTAGCAGTACAAGAACAGATCAACACTGGGAGCGATCCCCAGATCGTGGCACCAGACGATGAACCCATTCAGGATCCTGTAGGTGCTAGGCACGAACTGTGCCGGCAGAACTGATATCCGGCGAAGGAATTCCACAATGAAAGAATGCAAGGGAAACCGGAGACCGGCGATCAGTGCATCCATGTGGACCAGCACACATTCCGGACGATGACGCATAGGATGCTTAATGAACCCCGCATTAAACTGACAGGGTGGAGGTAATAATTGGCGGAGTGTCTGTTCGGCATCCGCACGAAGGCGTTGACGCTGCTTCCTGATACAGTGAAAATTCAAACTATAACGGGGGGCCGTTCAGGCATACCCCTATTATAGATTGCCAGGTCATCGCCCGATTGGCAACCATCATCGGGGAGGGGATGTTCGGGATGACGTGATACAGAAGAATCATTAGAACCCGATGACCGGGCGGATGTACCTTGATCTTTGGGGTGATCCTTTCCCCTAGGGCGACGAATCAAAGAAAGCACCATTTCCTCAGAATCTGATGAGCCGGAAAAATCGGACATAGGTTGGGAAGGAAAAATTCTAGAGAGAGAAACCTTGAGAGAATTAAGAAGCAGCAGAAAGTTTTATGGGAAGCAGCTGCATCTTTATATAAGGAAATGCTGCCACCCAGAATCCGAATCATTGACGGACACGTGAAAAAAACCGTTGAAGGAATTTAAGGCATCATTAAAGGCCAAATTCCCGAAACGGGGTAAGAGATAAGAAATATAACCCAGGACGTGATGGAAAAGAAATACTGCGATCATTCATCTCGAACGGGATCAGGAAAATGGGTTAAGAAAATGTGCCTAATGATGGTGTGACTTGCCCGAACGGGAAGTATTATGATAATAATGATGAACATGGCGAACGGGGATTATGGAATCAAAAGAAGAATCTGCCCAAGTATGGGGCCTATGCCGGCAAAAACTACCTGCCGAACAGAAGGAAACACATTAGAAAAATAACCAAAATGCCGGATCACAAATTTCCAAGGGAACTAACAGGGATTATACCCCGAGCAGATTGGGAAAATACAAGGATCCGAGCAAAATGAATTCGCGGAAATAACTTCTGATGGCCATCAGTACTCACCAAAGGGGAAAATTGTGCGGGAGTAGGTTGAAAGCATTGGGAAAAAATAAACATCCCGAATGTGAGGCAAGGGTGGCGGAAAGATCCAAGTCCTATATATTGAATTTCCTGGATAAGTTAAGCGTCGGGCCGAACGGGTGGGAATGATTGCTTAAATTACTTAGGTATCAAGGAAAGATCTAAGTCCTAAATGACTGATCCAGCCGAACAGAGATCGGTTAAGTCCTAAAAACAAAGCTATGTGCCGAACGGGACACGGGGGAGATAAATACGAGTGATCTAAAACATAACTACGTACCGAACGAAAGAAAAAGAATCAGATACATGATTAAGTCCTAAAGGGATGATCATCACAAACATGGTAAACATACATCTGTTTGGGAAAATAAAGATCTGCAAAGTGATTAAGTCCAAGATTACGAGCAGTATGAAATGAATGTGAAGAGATCAATGAGCAAAAAAGTTGTGCATTCATCGGTTCTACTGACCGGAAATTACAAAAGATATACTATACGGAATGAAAATACAAAGGAAATATCTAATCTACTGGTCGGGGTGATCTCCACCCTCATCTTCATCTTCATCATCTTCGTCTTCTTCATCTATGGCCTGAACAATCTTCGTCCCCAAAGCATGCCTGCATTTCCCGAGCTGGGATTTTAGTGCATTGATGTGACCTAGGTGCAAGTTAGGTGGAAGATCGGAGATCTACAATGGGCGGCCCAGAAGCTTTTCCAGAAGGGGAAGGATCGGTTGGAGCATATGCTGGCACCCGGAGCCATAGACCCCTCTAGCAAAGATCTCGGCCCATTCTTTGGTCATTGGATGCTTGTCGAGGATGTTCACCCCCTCCTTCTGGCGCTCCTCGCCCTTCAGCTTAGCCAGGTGCTCCCCGAACAGAGTGGGGAGTTGCTCAAAAGCATAGGCCCAGAACTCTTCCGAAGTCTTGAAGTTTTCCCGGACGGTCTAAAGATCGGCAATCACCTCAGGGGGCCCGTCCGGGATCTGAGAAGGAGATACGGCAAATTTCAACTGGGCGGACTCAGCAGCCGCCAGGTATGACTGAAGGGAAGCCACCCTCACACGAAGCTCCCCGAGCTCGGCTTCCAACTTTTTCTGGACCTCGGCAGCTGCTTGCCGATCAGTCTCAGCCGCCTGATTAGCGGAGGTGAGGGAATGTAGGGCTTCCTCCCTTGCCACAATGAGCTCCCGCTCCTTGGCCAGCCGGGCTTCACGGATTTTCAGACTATATAGCCCCACCTGCATATAGTCGGACAGAATTAGACAAATGAACATACAAAAAAGGAAACGGCAACGGGGAAACCAAAATAGGAAATTACCTTGAGAGCAGCCAAGGCAAGGCACTCTTCAGCCTCCTCGACCGGGAGCTCGGGGAGGACGAAATCATTGAGGTCAACAGACGTTGACCAAATCCGGCTTGCCGGACAACCACCTCGCTCTAGCATGTCATGAGCGGGGTCCTTGAGGGAGATCCTCTGGAACTGCCTGGCCAGCTCCGATTGGTGGGCTGCCACGTCCTCGGCAGAGAATTCATGGGACTGCTGATCAGAGAAGAGCTGATCCATCAGCATATTCGCATGAGAAGGTTGCTGATCAGAGGCAACCTGCTGAACAGGCTCAACCTCCTGAGCAGGCTGAGACGGTTCGGGAGATGGAGGTGCAGCTTGGGAGGAAGTTGCCTGTTCGGCCTTCCTCAGCCTCTTCTTCCTAGGTTTCCTTCTTTCCTGGACGGGAGGAGAGGCCTGAGGTTCATCCTCAACACCCACGGAGAAAAGTCTGCTATCAGCAATGGCTGCTGGCTGTTCGTGATTAGCCTCTTCGGAATCCGAGGATTCGCCTTGTTTGGGAGCTGAAAATAAAACAAAGGAAAATATTAGTACCAAGCGGTTCGCACATGGATAAACAAAATGTTTCTCACACGGGAAGGACCGCCCGGGCCATGGTACTTGGTTTTCAGTCAAGTAAGTCCAGGAATACGGGCAGTACCTACCCCGGCTTTAATAAGCCGTTTGGGAGTCAGATAGGGCATGATCTGGAAGCAGCCACCAGCCTCCAAAGCAATAATATCCTTGCTAAGGTCTTCAGAGATGAACGGTTCGGGGGGACTTTGGCGGAAAGGCATTCCATTTCCTTGGGATTAGGCCATTTGGGACAGAGACAAAAAAGAAACGATCTTTCCATTCTTTGATGGAAGAGGGAGCCTTAGAGAACAAAATATGACCCGATCGGGAACTCGCGACAAGATAACCTTGGGCTTATTGGGGAATGACCGAGAAAAAATAGTGAAACAAATCTAAGGAGGGGATCACCTTGGCTTCCACACAACGACAAATAAAACCAGCCATGGCCCGGTAGGAGTTCGGCATTATTTGGGCTGGCACTATATTGTAAAAATTTAAGAGGGAAACGAAGAAAGGGTGAAGAGGAAACCTAAGGCCAGCCTTAAGGGAATCAAAATGGACCACAACCATCCCTGGGAAGTGGCGCATTGGGTGGAGGCCCGATTGGAGGCGGAAGTTCACCGAATCGGGGATTAGCATCTGGATTTGGGCCCGGTTCTGGGCCGTGAGCTTTTGACGCCTAAGCCTAATCAGGGCTAGGTCAAGCTTATGGCATGGAACGCCGCTTGGAGGACCGGCTTCCATGACTTCCAATTCATCCCCCGATTTGGTGCCATCAGGGTAAGCATCGGAGGAGGAAGAGGAATCATCACTGTCAACTTCCGCCGGAATAGGGACTACTTGTAGCGCGTCGTTGGGGTTTTCCTCTGGGATTGCAGCGCCGGAAGTGGAGGGTTCAGATGAACGAAGGGGTGCCATTGTCACCGAACGAGGGAACTAAACAGAAGAAGGAAGTTCGAAGGGTACCTGAGCAGAAGCATCGGATGAAGCCCTAGAGAGAAGACAGAACAACACGCCGAAGAATGCAAAGTTTTGAAACCCAGATTCAGAGCCATAAGAGCCTTTTTATACTCTGTCACGCCGAATCATCAGCCAATCATAAAGGTACACGTCACCAGTAATGATGACAGGGACATGTGTCACGCGGAGAATCCTCCCCAAGTAATCATGACGGTTATCGGGGAAGCCAAACGACAGCCGCATAAAACCGTCATAACACGCCTTGGGAACTGGCGGAATACCATCCGATACATACCCGAACAGCATTCAGGCAATAATCTTCTACTTCATTATGCACTCACTACCGTTCGAGACATAGGAAGTGGGGGACTTGTGTTGGGATATTGGGTCCAGGCCCAATATCCCAGGCCCAAAATATGGGGATACCAGGAGGGAACAGAAGGTCCAAAACGGTCCAGACCCGTTCGGCGTTCGGCTCATTACTTACACTTGGAGCATTTCGGAGAACAACTACACCTACATCCATGACGAGGTACCGCACACCGATCGGCGTTCGGGATATTGGCTCTCAGGATAACAATGACAGGGTATCCCAATATCGAACATCCTACCCGAACGGACAGTCAACAAGTGGATGCTGCATTTAATGCTAAAGTATGGCGGTAGCAAGTGGAAGCATGGGTTCCTACGTGGCAGGGGATGTAACCTACTGGATTCAGCCACGTGTTCGGCTTTCCCATCCCCATTTTAGTATAAATACCTATATTAAGGTCATTGTAAAGGGTTAGCATTTTAATACTCAGAGCATAACAAGTAGAAACACTTCTCTTACTTTGGCATTCTCGTATTTACCACCCGTTCGGGTAATTTCGTTGTAATCACAGCATTACTGAATCAACACCTTTCTGAATCAACCCCAAAACATCCTTAGATACCCAAAGCGTGTGTTGGGCTTTCGGGTCTTCGGGATAAACCTCAACAGGCACATTGTACTTGGTATCATGCATAAAAGCTTTTCTTCAGATCAAGATTATCGATTCCAAGGCTTACATATCATTATTCATATTCCACTATCCTTACTCCACTATATATGTTCATGATATTCTTTTACAAAGGCCATCTTCCATCATATTCATTGCCTTTCTTGATGATGACTATTCGTGTTGGGATAGTGGGCCAAATCATATACTGATGTCCAATTCATCCGAAGGCTCGGGAGCAGTCTGATCAGGTGACCAAGCTTGAGATACAAGTTGACAAGCATAGAATCGCCCCAAGTTGCCTAGTTCCTGATTGGACTGGCTGACCCATTAACATTAGCTCACTAATTGGACCAAGTCCACATAGTATTTAATTAGTGGTCATGCCTTGTAAGTCTATACAGTCTTTTCTTTACGAGTAGTAGCCAGCTTCTCCATAGATTACTAAGTTCATCTCTCAATTCCTACCTAGATATTCTGTCGTAGCCTCCCAAAAGGCCTACGAACATCCATTCTAGACTCAACAATAAAAGTTTTTTCTTCCACGAGTCAAGTTTATCAATTCCAAGGTTGACATATCATTATTCATACTTCATCGTGCTCACTCCATTAACGTATATTCATGATATTTTTGTACACAGATCATCTTAACTTAGATCATCTTCAATCTCATTTAATGCCTTCCCACATGCCGATGATGCAGGCATCCCGACGATTATATCTCCAATCTCCATCGCTTCCTTTGTTAGCTTACAAGGCCAACTCTTTTTCTCTAGCTCTTGCACAAATAACACTAGCCCGCTCTTAGCTTTGATTGAAGAAAAGTATCGATTGATTGCTGCCAATGCCATTAAACTTTATGGTTTCTCTCTCTCTTTTGCTAGAACTCCTCTCTTTTGCTAGAACTCCATATCGGTATTCCTACTCAACTAGTTATACATTTTTGGACCCAAACACTTTTGTACAAATTCTATTACCTACTCCTACATGAAGCATATGACATTTGGCTATACTACACGAGTATATGAGTTAGGCGACTCTTATACCAAATTCCAACATATACAACGCTCCAAGAGGCCATTTATAAGGAGGGGGTGACAAGTTGGAATGGTCCAAATAAACCACATCTCACACGACTTCTCCTCAGTGAGACCTTGATTTTTAAGTGACGAAGAAGGTGAATTTAAGAGGACATTATTAAATATGACCTTTAGCTCCCTATGCTAACTTAAGTGGTCGAGCAATTCATGACCTATAGGGCCTCTAAAAGTAGTGTATGAGTTAACTTTTGCTTGAAATCTGGCCGTGTCTAACCAATTAGTGGAGTAATTATGCAGGGAATTAAGGACATGTGTAATAAATCATTTTTCATGTGCACAATTATGTATAGATAGATGTTAAGAACCTATAAATTGTTCAAACTATTGAAATTTACTTATGAATTTGGGTTGCATTCTTTGGAGTCCATGTATATTCCCTTGGGTGGGATCACAAGGATGTTGGTAGAAAAAATATTGGGATGGGGGAGATGAGTAGAGCAAAATCGGTCGGGTTTGGGTAGTTGTCAACTTGTCACGTTCTTTCACACTCCGACTCCATGTATATTCGTTTGTGCTTAAGAATCTCCGGAGCAGCGTTGTCGGTTGACGTATAATACTCCGTAGTTTATACTCCGTATTTATATTTATATTATTATTATATGCGGAGTATTATACTTCGTACATTATTATCATACTGTACGTGTATATATTTAAAAAGCAGGGAAGGACGGTCGCTTTGTAGTTCTGGACTCTCTTTCTCTTTTCTCCCCTGGAAGCCTGAAGAGTCAGTGAGACAGTCCTCCCGTATAAAATTCTCCCTAGGGTTTTGCATATCTCTGCTCGATCCATTTGGTGTTCGATACTCATCATCGGAAAAGCGAAATGGGCTCCTCTTCTCTCCTACTCAGATCCGCGGCAGCTGCATCTCCTTTGACGAACGTTTCTTCATCTTCCCATCGTTCCCAGGTCATTTCTTTTACCCTTCTTCTTAGCTCATCTCTATTGGCGATACAGCATTTTTGTTACAAAATTTCTCTCATTAACTTAGTTCATCCTTCTTTTGTGTTTCTCTTCCCCTTCCTGGCTGCCCGTTTTCCATATAACATTTTTGCTCTCTTCTTTCGGGGGCTAATCAAATCGAGATTTTGTAAACCTTTTCAAGCAGTTCGTATTTTATGTGTGTGTGTGTGTGTGTCTGAGTACCATGTAAGTGGATGCTTATGCTTATGGTCATCTTAAGGTTGGTTTTTTGTTTGATATGTATTTTCACCGATTTTATTTAAAATATTTCACCCAGGCATATTTGGCTTCCTCCCATCAAGGCTCCAACTCTATAAAGTTTGAATCAAGCGTCTTTGGTTCAGTTCGCCCGAATCTTCTTTCATCTTCCTTGCAGTTGTATTGACCCCCCTCTCTCTATAATCTATATGGTTTGTTAGTTACAAATCTGGCATGATTTAATGTGACTAACATTGATGTTCAATTCCTATAGAAGACGTGGCTCCCATAGCATTCGTCCTGCCAAAGCTACAGCAACAGAACTGCCCCCAACAGTTCCAAGTATAAAGCTTAACTCTATAGTTATACCTAAAATGAAAAACATTCTATAAGAAACATGTTGCTAACAGATATATCCGTTTAATTTATTCAGAATTTCAAAGTCTGGGGAAGACTAGGGTTGGGATAAATGGTATGTTTGCCTGCTTCACTGGCTCCATAAAATGTTACCATTAATATGAAACGTGAAGAATTTCAAACAAATTGCAGGGTTTGGGAGGATTGGAAGGTTAGTTTTACGAATAGCAACATTGAGGGACGACATTGATGTGGTTTCCGTTAATGACCCTTTCATTGATGCTAATTACATGGTGAGAATGCAATCTTTTCTGTCTGATAATAATTGATTTGGAGAATTTACAGATATATGATATTTTATTCTATTTCAGGCGTACATGTTAAAGTATGATTCCACCCATGGCGTGTTCAGTGGGACCATCAAGGTTTTAGATGGATCTACCCTGGAAATCAACGGGAAGGCGATCAGTGTGACCAACAAGAGGTCAGGATTGGATTTTTCTAGTGGTTTTATTGCTACAATTGTCAATACTCAAACTACACTCGTGGCTATGCAGGGACCCGTCAGATATTCCTTGGGGTGACTCTGGGGCTGATTATGTGATTGAGTCGTCTGGTATCTTCACAACAGTGGATAAAGCATCAGCGCACAAGAAGGTTAGTAATAACTGTTTCTACTCGTTCCCCAGCTTCATAAGTCGTTTTCTTTATTCCTTTGTCTGTTGTATTAAAGGATCTATAAAGCATCTGCTCAGGTTTCATGTTTTATTCTATAGGGTGGTGCACAGAAGGTTGTAATCTCAGCTCCATCTGCTGATGCACCTATGTTTGTGGTGGGTGTTAATGAGAAGACGTACAAAACAAGCATGGATGTCGTTTCCAATGCCAGCTGTACTACCAATTGCCTTGCTCCCTTGGCCAAGGTATGTACTGTTTCTTTAGCCTACTATAAGGAAAAGTAGATCCTCTGGCCTTATCTAATGTGCTTATTTTATTTATTTGCTTTTGCAGGTAGTTCACGAGGAGTTTGGTATCGTGGAGGGTTTAATGACCACTGTGCATGCTACGACAGGTTATCTTTGATTTTTTGCTGTCATATTATAGTCTATTCAAGCAAAGTGTATGCTATTTCCTCCGTTTTCTCAGTGTATAAATTAATTAAATATCATCTTGTTTTTTCAGCCACACAAAAGACAGTAGATGGACCTTCAATGAAGGATTGGAGAGGAGGGCGCGGAGCTGGGCAAAACATAATCCCCAGCTCAACTGGTGCTGCAAAGGTATGTTTTAATGAATTAGATGTTTAATGACTAGGTACTTATTGTTTTTTGACATTCTTCATATTATTCTAATTTCACATTTAATTCAAGGCTGTTGGAAAAGTTCTTCCGGCACTCAATGGTAAGCTTACTGGAATGGCGTTCCGTGTTCCCACACCTAATGTCTCCGTTGTAGACCTAACATGTCGACTAGAGAAGAGTGCTACTTATGATGATGTCAAGGAAGCCATTAAGTATGCCTCTTATGTCTTATCTTTTATTCCCAATTTCCCACTCACCTACTTTTGTATTTCTCATCTTCTACTGGGCCACTTGCTACAGGAATGCGGCAGAAGGTCCATTAATAGGCATTCTTGGATACACCGATGAAGATGTCGTATCGAATGACTTTGTTGGTGATTCAAGGTGACACCATGCTTTTCTTTATTCTGAAACATGGATAGTCAATCAGTGTTGTCAATCCCGGATAGCGGAGCTTTGCGGCCAGCCCAGAAAATGCTATAGCGGTATAGCGGATAGCGGGATGATCGCTATTCACACAATATATATGCAAAACACATGATATCTATACATATAATTCCATTGTATACACATCAAATTAAAACACGTGATTTCTGTTACTGAAAGTACCGAACATCTTGACATTCATAAATCCTAAATTACTAACAAAGAAGCAGGAGAAAATAAACTCAAAAGAAGCAAATAGGAATGTAGCATAAATCCTTTTTGTAGAAGATGAAGCAGGTCTTTCACTTGTTCTTGAAGAAGAGAACCAGATACTTGTCATTGTATCAAGTCTACTTTACCCTTAATACCTCTAAAAACAAACCTTATCCCAGAAACCCTAGCTGCAGCGAAGAAAAGCAAATAGCGCCGCTATAGCATCCGCTACTCCCGCTAGAGTCAAATGCAACGCTACAGGTGGTCTTGTAGTGCCCAACCCTTCCTCTGTATACCGCTATAGCGCTATTGACAACACTGTAGTCATTTAGTCACTAATTAAATATATAGTTTAAAATTATAACCAATTTCCAATTTGTTGGTGTAACCCTGCATTTCTTATTTTGAAACATATATATTCAATTGTTCATTAAAAAATAGATAATAAAAAGTAATAACTTTTGCCAATTTGTTGGTGTTATTCATTCTGAAAATAGATAATAAAAAAATTATAACAATTGCCAATTTGTTGGTGTTATTCATTCTGAAAATAGATGATGAAAAATTATATCAATTGCCAATTTGTGGGTGTTACAACAAAACAGATCAAGCATCTTCGACGCAAAGGCTGGCATGGGGTTGAACAACTCATTGATGAAGCTGGTATCCTGGTATGATAACGAATGGGGCTACAGGTACTGCACTCTGCACACATACATAACATGCATCTATTTGTACAGAGAACAAGAAATATCTTCGGTAGCTGACATAATTGACTATTATGTTATGCAGCAACAGGGTTTTGGATTTGATAGAGCACATGGCACTGGTTGCTGCCAAAAACTGAGGGCGCCGTTGATGCTGAAGTTAGTTTGCTATCGTCATCATTGTTATGATTATTTTAGAAACTAGATTGTTTCTTCTTGAGCGAGCCTTTTTGTTTGTTTAATGTAATGGGCTGTATTTTCTATTTATTTTAAAAAAGTAGAACAAATAATTGGAGTTTGTATGACTTGTGCTCGATTGAGCCCTTAACTCCATTTTTTTTATTAAACAGTGCTTCGTGTTATTATGAAGCAAGTTGTGATTCTGCGTGGAAAAATACAAGCCGTCACTGGGCAAAATTGTACTGATAAATAAGAGCAAGTTGGCACTTGCCGTTTCATAGAAGTTCCCGTTTCCCAAAATACCCGGTTTCTGTGAGAGATTGAGGGAGTGTTTGCGATTGCTTCTACTTTAAAAAAGTGATTTTTTAAAGTGATTTTGGAAAAAGTACTTAATAGTAAAAGTTGGTAGTGTTTGAGAAAAAAGTGATTCTGAAAAAGTAAAAATTGGTAGTGTTTGGTAAAATAAGTGTTTTTTGTGTAATAGGAAAAGTGAAAAGCAGTTTAAAACATCCTTCCACCTGCTTCCAGCTTTTAGCTTTTAAGTGATTAATTTAAGCAGAAGCTGTCATTTGAAAACACTCTTTTCAGCTTTTTTAAGCAAAAAGCTCAAAAGCACTTTTATTAAGCAATGGAAAACACTCCTTGAATGAGTTTGCGTCTATTTATAGCCAGAGATCATCTAAATCATTGGGGTAAGCCGGTAAGGTCTAGTCACTTTGCCCAATGGTTGACCCGGTCCATGGTCTCTGACCAGTTGGAATTGGAATCACCCGGTTCACAAGACCGATCATGGTATCGGATCAGTTGGGATCAGAAGATTCAGAACCACTTGATTCACCAACCTTGTGTCCCATCGCCCATCGGTGTCACTATTGGGTTTAACTAATAGAGCTGTTGGAGTCTTCTCAAATGTCCCGAAGCTGTTGGAGGGGGTGGGATCGGAAAAATCTATAAATATCTCTCATGTTTCCCATTTTCCTACACCAACTCCCAAATTCTCTCATCTTTAGTATCTATACATATACTTATACAATTTCATTTACAATTTACTTAATTTTATTAATTTCATATATATTCATACGGGTATTATTCATATACATATTATATTTATCAATTTATGGTTCTTCCTCCGTTCAACTCTTACATGTCCTAGATATAAATTTGTGATCCATAGTTTTTGACTTTATTATATTCAAATCTCAACCACAACTTCTATTTTTCCAATCACTTTGTTAATAGTTATGCCTAACCAACAAGACACATAAAATGGTTCTATTTTTCCAATCACTTTGTTAATAGTTATGCCTAACCAACAAGACACATAAAATGGGATAAATGTAGTAGTTATTAGAATCGTATTATACTTGTTCATATACAATATTAATATAGACTATAATATTGTACAACATTTCAAAGTATGCTAATATTACTTTATTACTTATATAGAATGTTGAATTAAAGAAAGTCCATTAATATGAGTAGTCTCTTTCAAGTAATCGTAAGGAGGTTCTAAGATGAAATGTCTTCATCTAAGAGTCGTGAAAAAACCCCTTTGGGTCAACATCATCATGACCTCGTGACACGAATGAAGGTTGAAAACCTGGCTCTAAGACGCTATGATTGATGAGGAAATGAAACAATTGTTGAAACAACACCTCTCTCATTTTCTACATCAAACCACTATTCTCATTGGTGATGAAGAAGAAGGTTTTGAAGAACCAGAGGAAGAACCCAAAACACAACCAACTTCAATTGACATTGATGACAATGAGTCGTTTGTTACCGCTGAGGACGAGTAAGGGAGCGACGCTGGTTCACGCTGGTTCTCCCGCACAAGTGGAGCGAGGTCATCCTAATAAAAATTCAAATTCTAATTTATTTAGGTTTCATTTTACAAAGTCAAAGAATCCTGAAGATACCATACAGTATGTGCACTGCAACTATTGTGGTCAAATAATAAACATGGGAGCACAAGGTGCAATGCTACGGTGCATAGGCACTTGAATTCGAGACTGCTGCGAAGGCGGCGAGAATGAAAGAGAAAGACACCCCAAGAACAAATGCCAAGATTTGCGAATCTCTACCTTTTCAGAAATTTCACTTATAATGATGACCAACATAATAAAACTGCTATTGCTGAATTGATCTTTGAAGAAATGTCAAACCCACAATTTTGAAATTATTCAAGAAAAATTATTAAAAGGAAAGTTTTTTGTTCCGGTTGGTAAACCATCAAAATTAGTGGAGTAGATGACAAGGAAAATCTACCAATTTTTATTATAATAGAAAAAAACTACAGATTAAAGAGGGAGACTAAATCCAAAATTCCTGCAGAAGAAGCATAGCTCTTCTAAAAAAGTCCCATATGCCTGATTGGGTTGGGGCGAGGGGGATTGACCTTTTGGAGGAATGCATGCATAAAATAAGTTGTATATAAGCATACAAAGCGTAAATTAATAATACATTAAAGATTAGTAAAAATGTATGGGGTCCTTGCCTTATCAAGAGTGATGGCACCACACACCAATGATGGCAAAGAAGCACAGTCGTTACAAAATACCTTCAGACACCACCTAGGAATCATTCTCAAATGTAGTGCTTACCAATCTAGCTGCCCTCTGGTACATATGATTATTGATGAGCCCAATGATGCTTGATGCAGAAGGAAGCATGGAATCGCCCCATTAATAAGCTGCATATGCTTTCAAGAGAAACCAGGTTATAACTCCATGCAAAATTAATCTAAAAATACCTTCCATATCGCTATTACTTCCCTTTAACCACTATAAAATGAGATTTTGTTTAAGTGATTAGAAGGCGAAGGTTGATGAGATATTAAGAGCCCCATATGATGATGCCAAATCTGGATTGCAAAAGAGCTTGTAAGTAAGAAATGGTCCAAGTCTGCAGAATGGCTCCTGCAAAAAGGGCAAATGGAGGGAAGAAGAACTTTAAACCGACATAAGTTCTGAAGAAAACGCAAAATGTTGTGCAAGACTTTCCAAAGGAAAAGGCGAATAGTTAGGCTGTTCAACTGGCATGGTTCCCTGCTTGATCAACCGAAAATGTTTGAGAGCTGGATTCACGGATGCTAGCTTCACAGGCTGATTTTAGGCTAAAATTACTGTCACTTGAAAGAGACCACCGGAGTCATAATCTGTAAATTCACAACATTGAATTGGCTATTGACTGGCACAAATTCTCTTCCATATAGGAGAGTCAAGGAGTTCGGTTGCATGTTATTGCCTCTCGGATATCTAGCATGCATATCTGAGCTCAAAAAGATTTATTAGATTTCCATTGCCACCACATTTTGTATGAATAGGCTTCCTGAACGTCAGTAATTAAACGCAGCCCAAGTCCTCCCTCATTTACTGGGCGACATATTATTTTCCAACTGATCCAATGATGGCTGAGTTTGTCTTGAGAGCCGCTCCATAAGAACGACCCCATTTTCCTTTCAAGAATTGAAATTATTTTCTTAGGTAGGCAATCGGCTGCAATGATAAGTAAAGGCAACATAGCTAACACACGTTTGATTAGAATTTACCTGCCTCCTTGTTTAGTGTTTTCGTCCTCGAGGGAGAAAGGTTTGCTTCAAACTGCTTGATCAAATCAACACAGTATTTATCTCGATTGATACCTTTATGGATATAAACTCCCACGTACTTAAATGGTAATACCTAGCTCTTCATGTTTAAAATGGTCTCCATCATATTCCTTCGTAGGTGGAGGTAAAAGTACTTTTATGTAAGTTAACCAATTAGCCGGATATCTGCTGATAATCTTCTAAGCAAGATTTAAAAGACATAAGGGAACTGGAGGATCCATTAAGGAAAATGAGGAGATTGTCCGCGAAAGTGAAGTGGCTGAGGATCGGCATTGCCTCTCGCTACAAAAAAAGGCTGAATACATCCTTGAGTGATAAGTGGATTGAGCTTTCTAGAGAATGCTTCTGAAGCAATAAAAAAAGGTAGAGAGACAAGGGCCCCCCTGTTTAACCCCCCTTGTTGGTTTTAAAAAACCGAAGGGCCTACCATTGACCAGGACGGACAACTAAGAAGCTTTTGAATTATTCATAATTAACTTAATAACCTGAGAGGAGAAACCAAACTTATGCATGACAGCTGAGAGGAAGGACCATGACACACAATCAAAGGCTTTCGCCATATCAAGTTTAATAGCCACATCAGATCCTCAGACTTTCTAGTCAAGTGAGTGGATAATCTCTTTAGCAATAAGGGCGTGTCCAGAAACATCCTTATGTTTCATGAAGGCAGCCTCTTCTTTGCTCAAAAGAGATGGAAGAAGTGGACTTATTCTATTAACAAGAATAAGTGTGTAGAGTTTACTAATGAAGGTGGAGAGGTTGATAGGACTAAAGGACTAAAGTTCTTTGGCTGAGGAATCTTGGGGATGACAACCAACTGAGAACTAGCCATTGTCATAGGATTTAGGGTACCCAAAAAGAAATCTTGCACCGCCAATGTGACGTCCTTCCCCACAGTTTTTCAACATTTCTATAGAATTGTCTGTTAAAGCCAATCCGGTCCAGCCACATTATTCTTGTTGAGTTGCCACACGACCTGTCCTCCTCCTCATTTGGTAGAGCAATCAATGCTTGATTATTATGCTCCTGCAAAATGTTAGGGATATGTTCTAAGAAAATATCATATTTAGCAACAGTAGGGTCCTCGGAGAAAAAGTTTTTGAAATAAGACCAGCCACAAGCCCACAACTTCAATACTCTCCAAAGAATCACTGATATTTCTGGTCGAATCCAGTATAGTAGAAATAGCTTGCTGCCTTCTCTTATTTTTCAAAAAATTGTGAAAAAAAAATTGTGTTTGCCTCCCCTCCCTTAAAACATCATGGTATTTTAGACTTCTGCTTCCAATACTTCCGCTTTTGCTTCAGTTTGAATTGCAGGCTTTCTTCCTTCTGGGACCAAGCCATCCTAATAATATTACTTGGGTCCGATTCAGAAAGAGCTTCAGCTTCAGTCTTCCTCCAAGCGCTTAATATCACTGAAAATGTTTCAGGAACAGACCCCTCACACCACCACCAAATGAATGAGAAGACCAGCTCTGCTCCACCACCTACATCAAGGATGGGTGAGATAACCACATGTTTTGAAAACGGAATTTTTAGGCCCTGTTTGGGAGGAGTCCATTTTGCATTCTAGGAGAAGCTGTGCATGATCGGATGTGGCTCTATTAAGGTGATGAGTTACCGTAGAGGCAATCAAGTCCAGAAAGGCTGAATTCATAAGAAAACGATCAAGCCTAAGCCAAAAACTAGACCATTTCTTCTATCACCATGCCAAGTGTAAGACCTACCTATAAATGGAAGATCAAAAAAATTCACAATAACTAATGCAATCTGTAAACTCCTCTATATCAGCAAACCTGTGTAAAGAAGACCCCTGGTGTTCAGTCACAGAAGCAATAGCATTAAAATCACAGAAGCAATAGCATTAAACATTTAAACATAGTGGTTGTCTTTCCAGGCTTGTGCATTTCATAAATGGCCGTGATCCAGAAATGATAATTGAGAAAAAAATGCTCTACTGTGAACCCCTTGATCATCAATCATCAATATGAATGATAGAGAATGAAGGAGAGGAGCTACCCCACATTATCCACAGGCGCAATCTGTCATAAGTTAACCCTTACTCCCTCCATCCCATAATGGTTGTCCACTTTCAATTTGGCACGATTATTAATAAAGTGGTTGAAAAGTAAAAAGTTGTGGTTGAGATTTGAGTATAATAAAGTGAATTAATAAGAGCCACATATTTCATGCCAAAAAAGGAAACAAGACATTCATTTTGGGACAACCCAAAAAGGAAAGTAGGACAACCAAAATGGGACGGAGGGAGTATTTTCTTTCAGACTGTTTTACTTTTGACTTACTTAATAATCAAAATAAAATAAGTAAGGTTCAAATTACTTTTCTTATTATTGAATTAAATGAAGTTATTGTATATGACAACTTTCATTACTTTCGTGTAATTTTTTCTAACTTTACTAATATGATGTATTTTAAACGTTGATTTTCCCAAAGTTTATTAGATTCAGCGAATTCAGTGTTATCATATAAGCGCTATTAACTAATATAATCAGAACTCTATTAATAGTGTTTTATGAGATTTAATGAATTGATATTGACTTGTATAATTATATTATACATTTTTTAGACAATTCTATCTAAACTATATAGTATGTGCTCAATGTTAATGCCAACATTCTTGAACTGGGATGAGATTCGAACATGTGACCTCCTCCTTGGGAGTGCCACAGTTATACTTAGAAATGCTAAAATAACTTTCTTAAAATAATTTAAAAAAAATAGTTGAAGATATGTTCCACAATAGTTTTATGACTGACATAATTATTTGTTGATATTTAAAAATACTAGACTTAATAGCCACTCATTCAAATAAATTAGTTACCAAACAAAAAACACATTTTCAAATTGTTTCCTATCATATTTATTATTTTGAAAACTGACTAAACTATGTGTTTTTTTTTTCAAAACATGGCTGAATTAAAAAATATTTACCAAATTGATGGTCGGTTAAAAATATTTTTCAAAATACTATTGGGCAAACTCTGGTTAGCAAAGTCGCCAACTGAATTGACGACCAAGGTGAAAAATTTGACCTGATGGAGGAGGCTGGACGGGGCTCCTGTATGGAAATTCCGGACAAGAATAGCTCTGTCCCTCTCTCTCTCTCTCTATATATATATATATATATATATATATATATATATATATATATATATATATATATATATATAGAGTAGTCTTCTTGTCCAGCCGGCCTGACGGGAACCGCCGTCCGGCCGAGGGCATTTCGGGCACTTCCCGATGGAATTTTTTGATGAAATTTTTTTAGCATGTTCTTCATGAAGTCTAGTTTATCCATACCAAATTTCAGCTCAAAATTCGATCGGGAAGGCATTCAAATAATTTTGTGAAGTTAACTGGGCAGTTTATATGTATGAACTGCCCAGTTAACTTCAAGAAATTATTTTAATGCCTTCCCGATCGAATTTTGAGCTGAAATTTGGTATGGATAAACTAGACTTCATGAAGAACATGCTAAAAACATTTCATCAAAAAATTCCACCGGGAAGTGCCCGAAATGCCCTCGGCCGGACGGCGGTTCCCGTCAGGCCGGCTGGACATGAAAAGTCCTCTATATATATATATATATATATTAAAGTATTAAGTATAAATGTATTACTCATCTTATAGTAATATACTTATATATTATATACTATAAACATTATATTATATATTACTTATAATATATTTACACATTATATATACTATATATACTTATACACATTCATATTTACTTGATATTTAGTTATTATCCATACTATTGTTATTTACTTATATTACATATTACATTTAGTTAATATATACTTATATATATATATATATATATATATATATATATATATATATATATATATATATATTAAAGTATTAAGTATAAGTGTATTACTCATCTTATAGTAATATACTTATATATTATATACTATAAACATTATATTATATATTACTTATAATATATTTACACATTATATATACTATATATACTTATACACATTCATATTTACTTGATATTTAGTTATTATCCATACTATTGTTATTTACTTATATTTACATATTACATTTAGTTAATATATACTTGTATATATATATATATATATATATATGTGTATATATATATATATATATATGTATATATATATATATATATATATTAAAGTATTAAGTATAAGTGTATTACTCATCTTATAGTAATATACTTATATATTATATACTATAAACATTATATTATATATTACTTATAATACATTTACACATAATATAAACTACATATACTTATACACATTCATACATTTTATAAAAGTAGTTAATTGTTAGACTTCTCATTTATCTATTAAATTAGTTAATTGTTACATTTCTCTACATTTCTCTTTAAAGAAAAAAAATAGTTACTTGTTATATATCATTTTTCATTTAATATTAGTTAAACTAGTTACTTAGTTTTTTTTTAAAAACTAGTTACTTAGTTAATTGCTACATTTCTCATTAAAGTAAAAACACTAGTTAATTTTTACATTTGTCATATTAATATTAGTTAAACTAGCTAATTGTTACATTTCTCATATTAATATTAGTTAATTTCTACATTTCTCATTAAAGTAAAAAAAAACTAGTTAATTTTAACATTTGTCATATTAATATTAGGTAAACTAGTTAATTGTTACATTTGTCATATTAATATTAGTTAAACTAGTTGATTGTTACATTTCTCATATTAATATTAGTTAATTGCTACATTTCTCATTAAAGTAAAAAAAACTAGTTAATTTTTACATTTCTCATATTAATATTAGTTAATTGCTACATTTCTCATTAAAGTATTAATTAGAAGTAGTTCGATTTTTTTCAAGGAAAACAAATTGTTACATTTGATATACTCATATTTTAGTTCGAATTTGCTATAGTTTTCTTAGTCACATTTTATTATCACTATTGTACTCATATAAAATATTTGATATCATTTAATATTTGTTCAATTTTAAATATGGACCGTGGTAGACATTCTGTAGATATGGGTAATCTCCAACGCAACCGCAAGAGGGAGATTGTGATGACTCGTCCTACTTCACGCAAAGGCAAAGGTAAAGCACGGGCCGAGTCTTCTTTTCAAAGTCGAGATGATTTTAAAACGGATTACCAACGGAGAGATGATATGAAGATGCCTGACAAGCAACTACAAAACCTATTGTCCCAAAAGGATCCACGCTTTGCACAAGAACAACAATTCCCGACAACCATTGACGAAGATGAGCTCGAGGATCAGGATGCGGAGGAGGACGAAGGGCGGGGGGGGGGGGGGGGGGGGGGCGACAACACCCCGGATGATGAGCAAGAGTTGGAGGACAATGGGGTTTCATCCCAAATTGGTAAGAAATCTAAATCTCCTATTATTGAAAACAAAAATACCGATAAATGGTATGCAAGTTGCAAATCATTGCAACAAAGAGTATAGCTTGGGAACCTCTGGCGGATACGGGAGTCTGACAAGGCATCTTAAGTCCGCACACTTTGTGGAGTATGCGAAAATAGACAAAGGCAAGGGGAAGCAAACACAAATATCGAGGTTTGCAAATTCTCAACCCTTTGGTAATTTCTCCTATGATGATAAAAAACATTTGACTGGTATGTCTCATTTAATTGTTGAAGAAAATTTACCCTATATTTTTCTGAAAGTCTTGCTTTAAGAGATTATGCTCAAGGTACTTTAAATCCTCAATTTAGAAATTATAGTCGCAAAATGATTAAAAAAGAAGTTATAAGGCAATATAACTTGGAAAAAGAAAAATTAGAAACATTTTTCGCAAACTTTGATGAACGTGTTAGTATTTGTAGCGATATATGGGAGGATACTTATCATCATCTATATTATTTGGGTTTTACTGCACATTATATTGATGATGATTGGAATATGCATAAACGTGTTCTTGCTTTTCGTGAATTCAATGATCGTCACACTGCTGATACTATTTATATTCTCATTGAGCGTATTTTAATTGAGTATAATTTGATTGATAAGGTGTTTGTTGTAGGTTTTGATAATGCTAGTAATAATACTGCTGCTATACCTAGATTGTGTGAATTGTGTGGTGCTTCTACATTGATGGCTAGGTTTTTCATCAACGTTGTGCATGTCATATTCTAAATTTGTGTGTACAAGATGGGTTAGCGGCATTAGGAAATGCTTTGGAGGTAGTGAAGGGGGAATTAAATTGATTTGGGCTAACACTCCACTGAAAATGCAATGACGGCAATATTTGAAGGATAGACGTGTCAATTATTGTGCTTTTCCTAAAGATTTGTCTATTCGTTGGAATAATACTTATAACTTAATTAAAGTACTTATTAGATATAAAGATCATTTTCCTGCCTTTTTAAGACAATCTTGTAACTATATTATAAATCCGGCTGACATCGGCACTTGTGAAAAAATTGTTAATGTTTTGGTATATTTTAATAACGTAACTCAAACTTTTAGTCATGTTTATAAACCTACCGCAAACGAATTTTTTGTTGAAGCTGTTAATCTCGCCGGCGCATTTTGTGAATTTTCCGATGCCGCTTACGTTAGTTATTTTTGTGATTTCATGAAACAAAAGTTTTTAAAATATTATTCACATATTCCGCATATATATGGTATTGCATTTGTTCTTGATCCTCGTTATAAACTTGCTTACTTGGGAACTTGTATAGATTACTGATGGAGTATATGGCCCAGGAACCCCCGGCCCATAGACTCCTACTTCTCCTACACAAGTCCATTGAGCCCAGAGAACAACTCGGACCCAAGTGTAACGGCCCAAACCTCAAAATAGCTCAGAATACACACTGGGGTGCCTTCGGCCTCCTTGGCCGAAGGCTCCAAAACTCACAGAGTAGCCTTCTCTGGCATAAGAAGCTACTGGGAGAAAACGGCGAAAAACATGAGCCTTCGGCATTATCAAGCCCTCGGCATCCGAGAAGCCTTCGGCTGAACCAAGCCTTCGGCCACACGAGGCCTGCGGCTGCACA